ATGGAATGCTTGGTAAAACTAAAATTAACTTATATTATTTTTTTATAAAAATATATTAATAGAGGGTTGAAAAAATAATTTAAATTCATAGAGCTCAAACTCGGGATCGAATAGAGGAAGGGCACAATTACCCTAAGCATACCACTCTAACAAATATCATCTTCTACTTGTTTCATGCAGTATTTAGGGAAACTATTAAGCATAAATCTATATTCCATGCGACCGAACAATCTCGAAATAATTAATATCGTTAACGAAGTTGCAGTTTTTCCGACAAGAATGAAACGCGCTCAACATCATTTGTTTTTGTATATCATACGTTATCAAGATGATCTAGGTAATTGTCATGAAATACTTGAAATTTTTTTATTTTCATTGACAATTATAAAATGTCATAAAAGCTTGAAAATTTTCGTCATTTGCCGTTTTTTGCCGCCAAAATCGCGCCTCCACCATTTGTGATAGTTTTCCACTGTCATTGAAATTTCGATATTCGCGACAGTTTTTAACTGTCATAAAACTTACAAAATCCAAAAAATAGCGTTTTTTCCTGCCAAAAACGCGCCCCCATCATTTATGACAGTTTTTTTTTCATCCAAACTTTTTTACTGTTCACAACTGTCATGGAAGACCAACTTTCTACTAGTGAAAGAGGATCCCACAGTCCGGTTCTTGTTGCTAGAGTCAAAACGAAGAAACTTCGTGGTAGTGTCTAATTTTTGGTTCGTGCATTTGGGTTCGCTTGTTCGTTCCGAACCAATTATGTGCTTGAGGAAAGAGAGTTGTTAACGGTCTACAAAGTAAGTCGTTTTCTTCCTCCCAAGAGGCTTAGCCTCCATTTTAATAGAATTATTCTGTTTTTTTTTTAAAACCGGTATTGTTGACTGAATCATAATTGTAGGATATATAGGTTTTAAGTTTTTTAAAACCTGTATACCCTACAATTACCTCAATTAGTTGTAGTCCTTGTAATATTTATACCACGTTAGACGAATGAGCAAATATGGGCATTTACTCAACTTATTGAATTTGTTTAGTGCTTAATGGCGTGCCCTCACTTGTGCATGCCTACTGCTTACTCGTACGCCTTCCTGCGTGTCCTGCACAACGCGCGTCCACATAAACACACCCACTTGCCTGCATGGGTGTGTGCGTACTGTAACCATGCGCGCTCGTCTAGGTAATCATTTAATCAACAAAGATTAATGCCAAAAATATTTTCAATATACCCAAATGCACTTAATTTAATAAACCATAAACAAACGACGTTACTAGATACACCATTTTCCTTGATGTGTTCAAGCAAGCCACTATGTTGCTTCAATAAAATTTAATTTTCAATTTTAAGTCCAAGCAACCATTTGCTTCCTTGAAAACATACCTACAATGAGAAAGCTTAACCAAAATACTTTGGTACTCGTTTCTTGGGTCATTCATTGTTAGTGAGCATAGATTTTGGAACTCATTTCAAATTTGTTCCAACATTTTTAGTGTTCATTTTCTACAGGTAAAAAATATCGAATTTATGACCAATTTTGCCACATGACAACTTTTTAACATGTATATATATTATATACTCTACTTCCTATGGAGAATTATTTCTTGGGGCATAATTTAATTTAAAGCAATTGGGTCCAATATCACTTTTAACTCCACAAAAATGATAAGTAGGTACAAATTTGACATTATGCATATAATTTAATTTTGTATGAATATGCTTAGACATAAATTTAGATTTTACATGCATATTTGTCTTTCCATACTTAGCTTAAATTTACCATTTGCATTGACATTTGAAGCATTGAATTTAGACAAGTAACAAAAATAATCTTTATGTCCATACTTGCCACATGAGAACCAAATAACATATATATGCACAGATTTATTTATTTCAACAAATTTATGTACCATACTTTCCTTTGGGAAATTCTGTTTTGGGCCTTTGTGAAAATTTGCTCTTTTAGAAAATGTTCTAGAATAATTTCCTTTGGGAAATTCTCTTTTGGAGCTTTGTGAAAATTTGCTCTTTTAGAAAATGTTATAGAATAAGTAGTTTGAGCATATTTCAATTAAATCACTTAGGTCCAATATAGTTTTAGAACTTGAAGGAGTAGAACATTCATCTATGTGCTCCAAACCTCTTTTATCACCATAAGGCTTACCTACTTCAATTATTTTGTCTAATCTTCAAAATATTTCTCTCATCACAATAACTATCAATATGCAAAAAATCATTGGTAGCTCTATTTTTCAAGCATCATTTTAATCTATCAAAGATTTATTCTCTATTGATAATGTCTTATACTTCTTTGATAATTTAACATATTTAGAGCTAAATTTTTCCAAATCATGTTGCATATTTTAAAAAACATCAAACAATTCATCATATGAAGGGAGTTTATGGTTTACCTCATCTTCATCGCTTTCGAAAAATGATTTATATAAAATAGCAAAACCTCGCTCCGATACCACTTATACCTTGTCATAGGTTAACTACGCCCTATGTCACCAAATAATGGCACCTATAGAGGAACACACAACCGTCTCCATTGGTTCACCCACACCAATGAGCGTAGAGTTCTGCTTCAGTGACACATTCACAAGCGAGAGTTCTCATTAATGCTCTGCCCACATTAACGATATGGGACAACTTGCCCTGATACCACTTGTTGAATTGATATGCAATCCTAGAGGGGGTGAATAAAGTCTAATTAAACTTTATAAATTTCTTAACACGGTGGGCTCAATTTAAACAAATAAATAAATTTTTTTATGAATAAATAATTTTAACACAAATCAATAAATAGATTAGAAATATATTTCAAGCACCTTTATTCATTCAAACGTAAAGTTGGTTCGGTAATACCGGYCTACTCCAGCAATTCTTGGGGATTTGATTAAAAAATCTGACTTTTTTCCATGGCTTAGAGTCAAATTGACACATTGTTATATTTTCGGGAGCAAGAAGGAACCTGTTCCTTTCCACAGTTTAAGATCAAACCGTTACAAAAACTCTTTTTCAGGCTTAAGAATAACCCTTACAATAGAATTGAAATTACAATAAAGCCCTCGAATGGCTAAAAAAATAAAATTGGAAGCTCGAGAATCTCTGAAAATAAAATCTCTTACAAGAAATTATAATAACATTAAACTTTTAAAAGATGATGAACAATGGAAAAATTGGGAGAGAGATGTAGAGAGAATTGTTAGGTAATTTTGAAAGAGAGAGAGAATGTTTAAATAGGAGGGAAAAAATTCTGAAATTTGTTGAAATAAACATCAATTTAGGTCCTTCAATCTTAATAAGTAAAGGTCAAAGATTGAGATTTAATTGAATAAAAAGATAATATTATATGTATCAAATTTCTCTCTCCCAACGACAGCTTTAACGGCTCAAAAACTTTCCCTTTTTTAGACCTTACAAGTTACAACGGTAACTTTGATTTTTTTTTTTCCTTTCTAAAAAGTAAGACAGGTCAGCGCATTAATGATTGATTTGCCTTTTTTTTTAATTACCCCAATGGTAACTTGTAAATTTATTTTTTCTATAATAATTTTTCTTTCGTTTTCTTTCGTTTTATTTTTCTTTCTTTCGTTTTCTTTCATTTTTTTTGTTTCGATCGTAGTTTCTCTATTTTATCTTTGATTTGAGTGATTCAAGATTCAAGAGTCGTTCGAATTATTGTAACGAGCTCTATATTATGGATACTTTAAAAGATTGGAAATAAACTAAATTAGGTTTGTTATCATTAAAAAATTAATTAATTAATTTGTGATAAAGGAGGGTCGAAAGCCAACATTTGAAATAAAGGAGAGAGAATCTGAAGAGAGCTCATAAAGAATGAGTGTCTTTTTGGCTTACCAAGGATCTTATTTGTAGGAGCTTGAGGTAGAATCTTTTTAATATTGATATTAAAAAGTTTTATATTATTTGATTTTTATCCTATGCTATCTTAATTAAATGTTATTTTTTCCTTTTAATGCATCAAATACATTATTTAGAATTTTTTTTTTTTGGAACGGAAATGCTTTATTAATTAATAAAAACACCACTCTAGGTTACAATTGAAGGTTACAATTGAAGAAAAGCTTCTAGAAGACTGTTCATCTAACCAACACGTGAAAGACTCGGACCAATCTAAAAATGAACCAGATGAGAGAGCAAATTTAGCCAAGAGATCTGCTTGGGTGTCGAGGCATCGATTCACATGGGTAAATTTCACCTCCTCAAACTGTTTGCCTAGATCTAGAATATCCATGAACCAAATTGCAACTTCATTTCTGTTTGCACAATCCTCTTACAGCAAATGTATCGCCTCGCAACAATCTAAGAGAAGCAACACCCGCTTTAATTTCATTCTAATAACAAAACAAATGGCCACCTTAATTGCTTGGAGCTCTGCGTGAAGAGGGGGTATCCAACATCAAGGAATTTGGGTGAAGCATAACAGTGTTCATTTGTTCGGGTACGTATAGTAAACCCTAAGCCCTATTTCCTCTGATCTTGTTTACACGCCGCATCAGTGTTAATAATTGACCATTCAGGTGAAAAGCTCTCCCTCGGACACGCCTCTGATATAATGTTTCTATCTACTGTCTCATTTCTACGAATTGTCATCCGATAAACCCGCTCCCAAAGCCTCCCAAGTAGCATCAAAATTAGTCGTAGGAACAGATCTCAATGGAAATGACGGGACACACCTAGCCCAGATTTCACGATATCGACGACACTCAAATAAAGTATGAAATACAGTATCAACCTTTTGATTATAGCAAGGACAACATGGGGTAATCTCTACTCCTTTTCTTAGGTTAGCTCTTGATTGGGATAATATCATGAATAGCTCGTCACACAAATTGCTTGATTTTGGGCGGAATATTCAATTTCCATAGTTTCTGCCAAAATTGTTGATTACCTGAAGAATTGGAGGAGGAAGACTCAAATTTGTTATGCATAAATAGTTAATGCACTTTTCACGGAATAGATATCCTTTTTGTCGAAATGCCAAAGCCAGCTATCTCTCCTCTACGTCAAACTAATCAGAATCCCCTTAATGCACGCCAAATCTTCCAAGCAAAAGAAAGATGTTAGTTTAAGGACATCCCACTCGCCCTAGCCATTAATGAACTCAGCTACCTTCACATTAGATTTTGGTGGCGTAGGAGTGATTCGTTTAAAAGTTGATTCTCTTGGTAGCCACTTATCCCTAAAAACATAAATTTCCTCCCCATTACCAACCCTTTTCCGAGGACCCTTAGCAAGAAGCTCACGACTCCATCGAAAGCTTCTCCAAAAATATGAAGCTTTTGACCCTAGATTTGCATAAAAAAAAAGTTGTGTCCGAGACATACTTCGCTTTAATAATCTTAGAAAGTAGCAGATCTGGGGACATAACCATCTGTCAGACTTGTTTTGCAACTAAAGCTTTATTAAAGCCTTCCAAATCTCTGAAATTTAATCCCCCAATTCCTTTGGCATACAAACTTTATCCCATCTCATCCAATGGATCTTCCTACTCTCCGCTGAAGAACCCCACCAGAACCGAGCATATAATTTCGATAAATCCCCACAGCAGCCTTTAGGAATTTTGAATACACTCATTGCATAGGTTGGGACCGCTTGATGCACACTCTTAATCAAAATATCTTTTCCGGCCCTGAGAAAAACGATCTTTTCCAGCCTTGCATAACTTTCCACACTTTGTTCTTAAGAAAGGTCCAATCCTCCGTCTTCCGCCTCATAAAAGCCGACGGCAACCCCAAATAAGGGCCAAGGTTGTCCACCATCCGAACGCCAAAAGGGATTGGAGATAAGCTCTTCATTCTGCCACAATATTAGGAGAAAAACAAACAGCTGACTTGTCGAACTTGATGCATTGGCCCGACACACTTTCATACACTTTGAGCATTTGTTTTAAGGCACACACTCGGCTGGATCGGCTTTAATAAAGGTAAGGCTATCATCAGCAAACAAAATGTGAGAAATAATCGGACCATGGTAGGCAGGATTTAGTCTAGTAGCCTCCGCAAGCAATGAAGATAACCCCTCAGCACACAAAAGGAAAAGATACGGGGAAATAGGATCCCCTGTCTTAAACCTCTAGACGGAACAATTCTGCCCACTGATTCGCCATTAGTGTTGACTGCAAAAGATACCGAGGAGATGCAGTGCATGACGCGTTCGATCCAACCTTCGGCAAACCCGAGCTTTTCCATTATCTTCTCAAGAAAAACCCGCTCCACCCTGTCGTAGGCTTTACTCATATCTAGTTTAAGAGCAGCAAAGCCTTCGCGACCCGACTTATATCCTCCCAAAGTATGTAAACATTCATGCCCTACAATGATGTTATCACTGACAGGACGACCTGGGATAAAGGACGATTGGGACTCAGAGATAACATCATTAAGGACTTCTTTCATCCTAATCGCCATATCTTTAGTCACAATCTTATAAGTGACATTACACAAACCAATGGGCAGGAAATCAGTCACCAGTTTTGGGATCACTCTTCTTAGGAATCAAGACAATAGTCGTCTCATTCCAACCTTGTATACTGCTCTTGTTATTTAAAACTTCCAGACAACTTGCTATAGTTTTAGGACCCACTATATTCCAAAATTTCTGATAAAGAAGAGATGGAAAACCATTAGGACCAGGTGCTTTAGTTGGAAACATTTCCTTTATAGCCCTTTCCACCTCTTGTTTCCTATAGGGAAGAGACAATCTGCTATTCATTTGTGGCGTGACCTTTGGAGTAACTGTACTAAGAACTTTGTCAATAACATCCTCGTTTGGCTTAGTGGAGTGTTACAATTATATAGAAATTCTAGAATCAATTTGCTTCTTCAATGAGTTTTTTTATAGCCTAAAAGAGTATTTATAAATGCTAACTAAGAGGCGAATAATCACATAAACATTTCAATTATTCTTTAGATAATTTTCAGCAACTAACAGTAATGTAAAATAGAGAATTGACACAAGATCTATAGTGGTTCAGTCCTAAAATAGGACCTACATCCACTTTGCAAAGATAATATCCCTGCGAGTATTTATTATTAACTACAAAGATCGAAATACACAGTAGGGATATACTCCAAAATAGAATCGAAAAACCTAAAACAGAGAGTCAAGATCTACGATTCAAGAATGCTTCTACTCAAAATCTTGAAGAGATTTGAGGTGCAATCTCAAACACATGTAAATCTCTTCAAGAATAGGTAAGAACCAGCAAAGATAGAAAGATACAACCTCAACGCTTAGATCTACGCCGAATCTAAGCCCAGATTTGAACAAAATCGCCAAAGAAGCTTACGGTTGCCTGAGTACTTCGGCGGCAGAGTCGTTTTCCGTTCAATCAAGCGGCAGTGTCGATTTCTACCCAATCCCGACGACACGGTGAGCGACGACGGCGATAGAATTGAAGGTGGTTGACCGTGGCTTGAACTCTCTCAAGGTGGTGACTCTCCTCTATCTCTATTCTTCTCCTCTCTTAGGGTTCTCAACAGAGAGGGATAAATATGCTTATATAAGCCTTCCAAAACCAAGACCTAGTATTTAGATGGGTTGGGTTAACTTAAAGAAGAATGGGCCATAAAAATATAACAAGTAAAAGAGACCAAAAAAAAGATAAATGACAACAAGAAAAATACATTATTAAATCAAAATTAACAATCTGCACCTTGATTTGATAATCTCATGAAACCAAGAGGGAGCCCACTGCCATAAACAACCAAAATCTTCACCCTGTATCAAGCTGCAACATTCTCACAGATAGGTTAAATTTATCACAAGGCAATGCCTTAGTAAACATATCAGCTGCATTTAAATCAGTTGATATATTTTTAACAGAAACTAAATCACCATTGATAATATCTCTAATAAAGTGGTATCTAACACCAATATGTTTAGTTATTTCATGGTGAGAATGATTTTTAGACAAGTGAATGTCACTTTGAATATCACGGAATACGGTAACATTAACAATGCTGTCACACAATTCAGAGACTATTCCCCTAAGCCAAATAGACTCTTTAATAGCTTCAGTTAATGTAATGTATTCTGACTCGGTAGTAGATAAAACAACTATAGGTTGTAAACATGCTTTCCAACTAATAGTGCAATTAAAAATTTTAAACACAAAACGAGTCAAAGACCTTCGCTTATCAATATCGACAGCATAATCAGCATCCACATATCCTTCTATCTCTATGCCTATGTTATCATTAACAGTTGCATTTGCTCCACCATAAACAAGGCATATATGTGAATGAGATGCAAGATATCTTAAAATCCATTTTATAGCATTCCAGTGTTGTTTTCTAGGATTAGCTAGAAATCTATTCACAACACTTAATGGATGAGCAAGGTCAGGTCTAATACATACCATAGCATACATAAGACTCCCAATAGTACTAGCATAAGGAATATCAAGCATATCATCAATATCATTGGGGGTCTTAGGGGAATCATTAGAAGACAATTTAAAATGTTTCCCAAAAGGAGTACTAGCCTTCCTAATATCTTGCAAACCTAATCTTTTGACTAGCCTGTCTATGTAGTTCTTTTGCGACAAACACAACTTATTATAAACACGATCTCTAGTTATATCCATCCCTAAAATTCTTTTCGCTCGCCCTAAATCTTTCATTTCAAACTCTCTACTTAAAAGATCCTTCAAATTTTTAATATCATGCATATATTTACAAGCAATCAACATATCATCAACATATAGAAGTAAATAAAAAAAATCAGATTTAGAAACTTGTTTAAAATAAACAAAACTATCATATTTACTTCTATTAAAGTTGATTGAAATCATATAAGTGTCAAAACGTTTATACCATTGACGAGGAGATTGCTTTAAACCATATAACGATCTTTTAAGGAGGCAAACCTTCTTTTCTTGTTTGGGAGCTTCAAAACCCAGAGGTTGTTCCATGTAAATGGTCTCCTCAAGCTGACCATACAAGAAAGCAGTTTTAACATCCATTTGTTCTAACTCAAGATTATAATGGCAACAAAAGCAAGTAAGATGCGAATAAAGGCATGTCTAACGATTGGAGAAATAACATCATCATAGTCTATGCCTTCTCTTTGTGTGAACCCCTTAACAACTAACCTAGCCTTAAATCTAAGGTTGTTCTCATCTTCGGTGTTCTCTTTAATTTTATAAAGCCACTTACAACCCATTGTTTTATCTTCTAATGGTTTGTTAACAAGTTCCATGTTTTATTCTTCTTCAAAGAATCAAACTCCTCTTTCATTGCGGCCCACCATTTCTCACTGTTCTCATCATTAATGGCCTCATTGAAAGTTTGTGGTTCTTGATTAACAAACTCATTAGCTACAACTAGGGCATAGGATATCAAGTCTGCATACCTATATCTATTGGGTGGTCTAATAGGCCTACGTTTCCGCTATCCCTAGCTAGTTGGTAATCAGTTAAGTTCTCATCATCTACCTCCTCATCTTGCTCTACTTCTTGTGTATGTATTTGTTCTATAGGTGTTTGAACTACTTGATCATTTTGGGAAGTAGAGCTAGAAGGAGCTAAAACAGTTTGTATGGTTGTAGGGTCACTGGGGCTACTATCGATTTTGTTCTCCACATACCCCATTTGATTTTCATCAAATATCACATCTCTACTCATTATGATTTTAGGGTTATCTACATCTAGACTCCACATTTTATATCCCTTTACTCCCTCGGGATATCCTAAGAAAACACATTTCGTAGCCCTAGGTCATAACTTTCTCTCATTTGAATGAGCATAAGCTAAACACCCAACGACTTTCATGTGTGTGAAATCAGGGGGATTGCCTTGCCAAAGTTCTTGAGGTGTTTTAAGTCCTATGGCAGTGGCGGAGCTCTTATTAACTATGTAGCATGCTGCCACGACAGCTTCACCCTAAAAACTCTTGGGAAGCTGTGCATTGGACAACATGCACCTCTCTTTTTCCATTAGAGTTGGGTTGGTTCTCGCAGCTACCCCATTTTGTTGGGGGGTTCCT